GGAGAAAGCATAAAACACTTTGCGGGAATACTTATTGGGCAAACCAATTCTGAAGTTGCCAGACCCACAGAAACCATTTATGTTGCGGACGGACGCGTCTCAGGTAGGAATTGGATCAGTACTTATGCAGAACCATGGTGAGAAGCTTCATCCAGTTGCTTATGCAAGTAAGAAGTTATCCGATGCAGAAAAGAAATATTCAACTGTAGAAAGGGAATGTTTAGCCATGGTATGGGGCGTGAATAAATTTCGCCTATATTTAGCCGGTGTGGAGTTCATTTTGCAGACAGATCATAAACCATTGTCGATAAAGCCAAGTTTGCAAATGACCGAGTGATGAGATGGGCGATGACTCTGCAAGGATATAATTATCGTGTTGAGGATATTCCTGGACGGGACAATGTGGTAGCGGACTACCTGAGTAGATTGATGGACTGAGGAACTTTTGAACAGTATAGTAGAATGTTATTCGTTATGATTATATTTCATATTTTATTATATTCTACTGTATGTGATTTTCGAATTTATGTACTCAGAGCTTTATTCAGTTCGATTTGATATATTGTATTGTTGTTTTATTTGAAATTGTTATCGTATTCGTATTATTGATGTCTTTGCTAGTCATGTAATATTATATGTTATAATATTCTTGAGAGGGGAGGCATGTCGCATTTTCTTTAGAAACTGGTTGAATAGGTAATAGGACATTGTATGAGGCAATAGACGGTAATGGAACATTCTAGAAATTTGTAGTAAGTTCCAGACTCCTTATGTATGCTGATGTAATGGTCTATTTATAGACAGTGGGGGTATATACAGGGGAGTTGTTCAGCACTGAGTTCAGCACTGAGATCTCGTTGAATTGTATTGGAGTTTAAGTATCTAGTTATTGGAGTAGTGAAGTTTTACCGCGTTATTGTACTTGATGTAATGATGTTTGCAGAGTATAATAATACCAGTACCAGTTGAAACCTCATCTGTTGGCTCCGTGTTCGTATTTTATCATCGCCCCAAGGGAAGTCTTTCTGTTACTGTTGCCATTTTGGTATTTGAACCATCACACCTGTACTATATCAATTACGGTTATATTTCGTTGCGTGTGACACTGACCATAGAAAAGAAATAAAAGAAAGTCCTCTTTTGTGTTCAATTTCGACCGATATTTATAGTAGTAATATGAGTAAGATAAAAAGTAATGTGATAATTGGAGCAGATTTCCTTGCCGAATATAAAGCAGTAATCGATTTCTCAACACGAAAATTTCACTTGAGACCGAAATCCCTAATATGGAAACAGAGAAGTGTAAAAGTATCCGCTAGATCACAACAAATTATAACCTGTAATACACGATCACATTATCCAAATGGTGTAGTCGCAGAAAATAAATGTGTAAACAAATCTTTCTAAGTATGGGTTATTGACCGCCAAGGGGATTTTCCAAATACAGAACGATAAAGTACCAATTAGAATAATGAATCCACTGGACACTGAAATTCAAATTCCCCGAGGCGTTAGAGTTGGAATGATACAATGTTTATCCCCGGATACTGGCATATTTGACGTTGGCTTAGAAAAGGAACCCATGAATTTGAACGAAATTGGACACGATAATTACCCTAGAGAAAACATAGATCATTTTAATGTGGACATGACCGGAGCCGATTTAGACCCGAACAAAAACAAACATTAAGCAAATTCTCAAATGCGTATGGAGATGTATTTGCAGAAATTGCCGGCCATATGGGTCGCACGAAAGTGATTCAACATAAAACAAGAGAACTGGTGATGGTTGTAGAACCATAACTGACTCAGCTCAAAAGATTGTTATGTAATACAGGAGAATGTGAAGGGAAATGTATTGTAATGTTACCTCTGTGTAATTTACAATATATCTGCATTAACCTTTACTTTGATGGACAATATGGGAGTTGACTTAAATGACTGGTAGAAGCAAGGCTGGTCAAATTTTGCGAAAAAGTAGTTAGAATTTCCAGATACGCAATCGACACATTCTGGGATATCAAAATATCGATGATAAACTGCAAGTGATATTTCCAGAGATGTAGTTGGAATTGAAGCAAAGGAGTGGCCTATTAATCCATGAAACATACTCACACATATCTGTACATATCCTGTCTTAGTGTGTGGGCAAAGCTGTCATGCACACAATCGGAAAAATATGTTATTACTGTAAATTATTATGAACAATAAAAACTGAAATTTAATAAGGAAAATATGTGATTTGCTGTACAGTTTCCAGAAAATTATTACAAGTCCCAGAAGTGCATACAGTCGTCAAAACGTAGTTTGGTGACAGTTGGGAATGATACCAAGATTTAACAATTCTATGAGAACATCGCAATGTTCTTTTAACACATGAAACGGATGTGCATTGGTCAAATTTTGTATAGTTTCAATAGGCATACAAGCACCTGTATATATTTTGACAATAAACCCCTCATTCACATTGTGCAAATACAAACAAGACATTAAACATTCTTGATAGTAAAAAGTAAGTGTTGTATAAACCTGAATGAAAAGTCCGGAGTCACGGCGAATACTTCTAAAGAGTCACCCCTCTAAAAACGTCATTACTGTGCCAATGACATTGAACTTTGCTCTTCCATAAAGCAGCAGTTTCCATCTTCAAATAATCAAAATAACCTTGATACCCTGACAAGCATGTCTATTGTTTCACAACGACTGTCCCAAGAGATTTTCGTATTCTCAATTTCTCAAGATAAACGTCCCAAGGTGTTTTTTTTGGCAGCATTTCTTGTATTAATTTCCATTGCACAAAAAAGTAGCAAATACTGTTACTGAAGCACAGAATTTGCATGATTTTTTGCTCTCCGGCCATTCATGCAAACTGCAAACGAAGTCTTTTACCTCATCCATAGTTGCTGACACTTTGCAACCGCCTTGATGGATGTATTGAGACGTATTTTGACCCTCGATTCTGACCTTGCATTCTGGTTACATTTACCGCCCTTTCATACCACTTCAGTTTCCTTTCATCATTTCATCCAGATTCCACGATATTTAATATTTAAAACCAACCTTCATTTCACAGTCACTCTAGTTTTTACTTTTCTAAAATTATTTTACTGATCAAAAGACTTTCCACTCCCATCATGCAATCCCCCATAGTACTTCCGGAAACACAGAGGCGATCGCCAGCATATCTAAAAATAACCTCACTCTCAGGAGCTGAGGAATTAGACTGATTGGGAACCCTGACCCCGTTAGTTGCAGACCATACGGGGTCACTCCTCAAAAAAGGGCCGAAATAGAAAGGCAAATTAATGACATGCTAAACGAAAATATAATTTTCCCTTCAGTGTCAGAATGGTGTTTTCCTGTTGTCTTGGTCACCAAACCTGGGGCAATTACAGA